CTTTCATCTGTTTCACGCGTACATCTTATACACCACCACCTAATCGTCCTTACTCTCCTTCTGTCACCCTCCTTACTCTCCTTCATCCTCTTATTCTCCCACAGTTCATTCTCCTTATTTTCAAAATTTATCCTTACAATGTTCTCCCTTCTTCACCCTTCATTTGAAACCTATTCATTTCTTTATAAAATCTCCTTCACCTCCTTATGTTCCCTGTCTTCACCCACATTATTTCCCAAATTTTATCTTCCTTATTCTCCTTCCTTCAATAAAAAAAAATATCTTTTTCATTCCTTTCTTATTCTATCATCCCTACAAAATATTCCCTTTGCGTCCTCCTTACTTCCGTTTTTTTCCATCCTTAAATCCATAACTTCGTCCTCCTTTTTCTCTCTCCTTCCCCTAATTTTCTTCCACCATCACCCTCCTTAGATCCATGTCTTCATCCTCTTAAGGGGAATCTACCCAATTATTTAAAAAAAAAATTTAAAATTCCTTAAAGTCTCCATGTCTTCATCAAAACTTACCTCTCTCCCTTCCCCCCCTACTTACTCTCCATAATTCACCCTCCTTAAAAATTCCATGTCTTCATCCTCCATTGATCTATCTCCTTCCCCTTAAAGGTCTCCCTCCTTCACCCTCCTTACTCTCCATATCTTCATCCTCCTTAATCTCTCTTTCTTCCCCTCCTTACTATTCCCCTTCCACTCTGCTTGCTCTCCCTATCCGATAGCATCCTTTTCTGCAGTTCTTTGAATTTTATTTATTTTTTTAACACATTTCTTCATTTTTGCTGTCTAATTTTTTTCTTTTTTTATTAGATTTATTTCTTTTTTCACTCTTGTCTTTTAAAGTTATACCCGCTAAGTTAAATCCTTATGTTGTCTCACGGTCTAAACTTAAAACGGCAACTGTTATCATGTTTATTTATGGGAAGGTACGAGCTTTTAGTGTTGCGTAATATAACAGAATAAAGACAATTTATAGCTGCGTGCAACCTTATTTCTTCTCTCCACTTTGCCCTCATTTCGAGTGCATTCCGAGTAAATGGCACTTTTCAAGTTTACTTCTGGCAGTCTGAAGGTTGAAAAGTTCTGAGTTCAGCTACACTGAACATAATTTTTTTTTTCGGCTCCCTGGTTACAAAAGAGGACTGTTAGGCTACAAGGCTGATGTGCAAGAATTCAAGTCGTTAATGTAGTAAATCTGAAGACTAATTTAGTTGATATGCGGTGAAAAAAGATGAGACAACAATAAATTGTTTACACTGGCCCTCGCTGCTCTATCGCTATTTCCAGGGCAAGTGTTCAGACGAACTACATTACTTAGTTCCACCAGTTCTAACCTTCTCGGTTAAGACCTACCATGCTATGTACATTGTAGCGAACATTCGTATTGCATTGGTAAGATAATCAAGAAACAATAACAATTCCCACGAATCGCTTCTTTGCGAAACCGACACACAAAAGAATGTTTTCACTATAATTTTAACCTGTACAAGTCTACGGATAACCGGTTATATTTCCCTTATATCCGTACAAAATGCCTCGTAACGTAATGGCTTCAAGTAGCCCCCGGACATTGTGCAGGTTGAACCTCACTGTAAAACAAAAACAAATCAGAATTACAAACACGTTCACAATAGTAGTAGTCGTCTTCCTTGGTAAGGTTGTTTGAAAAACACTGGAGGTCGTACTATAGAATTCCCCAGTAAGACAGGGACGCCAATCATTTTCCCAAAAGAATGTTTAAAATGCGCACGACTTACAGTTGTAAAAATAATTTCTCGCATTTTTTTTAAATATTCAAAATAATATAACTATATCATACTGATCATGTTTGGAAATAAATAAAATCATTATATATATATATATATATATATATATATATATATATATATATATATATATATATGTATGTGTGTGTGTGTGTGTATGTGTGTGTGAAATATATACTTTTTAGGTGTGCTATATTTATGGAATAAATTCCAATCAATATCAGAGATAGAATTTGTGTGTGTAAATATAAAAGTAAATATTGAAGTCAAATTAGAGGCGATAGGCTGTTTCATGATATTTATATATATGGCCTGACGATTGCGTCTAGCATGAAATAATATGACGTTCTTATTGACTTTATTTCATTTTATATATATATATATATATATATATATATATATATATATATATAATAAATTAATTGATTTAAAATATGTTTTTTTTTCGCTACACAGTTCTAACCATGTTTCAAAAATGGAAGCTAAAAGCCCCGAATTTAATTTTGTAATTAAATTAAAGACATTAGTTCCATTTCATCCTCAAGCGAATTTTGGAGTAACTTTTAAAATTACTGGGTTTTAAAGACACAGCTAAAATCATAATTCATGTTTCCAAGGTTACAGGCGAATTCATTTTTCTAGACAAGGGGTGTCTGCGTGTTCATTATGTCTATATTTTAATGTATCAGTTATTGCTACGTTTCGGTAGTGGGTAGGGATGTATTTTTCAATGAATCTAACATATGTTATATATATATATATATATATATATATATATATATATATATATATATATATAAAACAACAAAAAGAGGCCGTTTAAGCAACATAAAGGTCTGACCTAAATTAAAGTTAAAAAACAAATAAAAACCACGCATAAAGTTCACTTTCTTCAGAGAGAGTTATTCACTCCTGTAGCTCACTACTACAAACAAACAGGGATTTTTCTCCTGGTGATGGCAATGATGGCCGAAAGTAGTTGAGGAACATAATTGTAATAATAAAACAAAAAATATTAATATACAATCCACTGAACATTATTTACATTATTCGGACTATTGTCCTCATTTTTGTCGCCATATTTTTTACAACGTTTCGGCCGTTGTATGCTCCGGCCTTCTTCAGGTGGTTGGAATGTCTAACTGAACCCCTTATTTCGCTCATTGCGTTAGACTGTTCTAGTTCCACGTGCCATGTTTTAATGGATGTCAGTTATCTGGTACCTCCTTCTAATTCCCCTCTGAAACTTCTCCACTGCCTTAACCGGTATTGAACTCACACTCTTTGGTTCTTGTCGCTGGATCTAACCAACGCCTTTATCCACTGTGTCATGTGTCCTTGAGATATATGTCTATCCTCTATTACTATTCGGATCCCCATTTCTACTCTATCCTCTATTACTATACGAACCGCTATTCTCTATACTATTTAACTATACTGATTACTGTTCGAGCGAGTATTTTCGAGCAAATACTGTTAATGCTAGTAATATTCGAAGGCGTCTGAGTCAATTATAGTTCAACATTTAATCGATAAAATTTATCTGCGATTACAAAGTCTCTGCTTTTTATTATCTTTACAAAAGGACAACGATATTCGTTGGAAATTTAAAAAAAAACGGAGTGTTCGCTCATACCATAATATTTTAATGAAATTGAGTCCCTTCCTTAAAATCCATTCCGTCATCATTTAATTCATGAATACTCTCCTCAATATATTCATCTATTCAAATTGTCCCTTTTTTAATTAGAAAATTTATTTTAAAATTTTATTAAGAAATCTTTATAAAATTTATTTTAAAATTTTATTAAGAAAACGTCGCCTGAAGAGATGAATATATTTTTGTATATTCATAAAATAAATTATAACCGAATCGATTTTTAAGGATCGCCTAGACCAATCCTACTCAAAGTGTTGGTGGGCAAACCGGTGCCGATAAGCGAACCATCAGCTACCGGTATGCGACCAGTGTCCAGGCTATACTAAGGAATCATTTGTAAAGATTAAGGTTATATAATTTTTGTTTTTGTTTTAATAAACTGCTTATTTTGTTATTACTTGTTATATGTTTTCATACTGAATTATTTTTTGCAAAATAAATGGAAGATAAAAAGAAGTCAACTTTTATTATATTCATTATATATATATCGTTTCCGGTATAAATTAATATTACCCCAAAATATTACAGATACGTTACACATTGAGAAAAAATGCTTTTTTCCATATCAGATAGATTGAGAAGCAATGGTCTAGACACATCATTATTATATTTGCTCTTTTATATTCTTACATTGAGCTCTGTTTGGATTAATGTACTCCTAAATTATACCTACTTAATTATCAATTGATATATATATATATATATATATATATATATATATATATATATATATATATATATATATAAGAAATGTAAAATTAAGATTAGCTTTATATTTTTGGGATAAAGTTCAATATCAGAGATAGATTTATTTTAAATATAAAAGTGAACATAGAAAATAACACTTTTGGCGACATGAAATATGCTAGAAAAAACAAATTTTTCTCGGCTAAATAGCGAGAAAAATAACAGCAATCGTTTACCAGAAAATTGCATCTTTTTAATAAACAGACTTTGCCTTGTATATGTTTGATGTTTTACACTATCATATTGGTTATATATATATATATTATTTATATAAATTAATTGATTTAAAATATGGTTTTTTCGCTACACAGTTCTAAACCGTGTTTTCAAAAATGGAAGCTAAAAGCCCCGAATTTAATTTTGTAATTAAATTAAAGACATTAGTTCCATTTCATCCTCAAGCGAATTTTGGAGTAACTTTTAAAATTACTGGATTTTAAAGACACAGCTAAAATCATAATTCATGTTTCCAATGTTACATATAAAATCACTTAATCAAAGACAAGGGGTGTCTGCGTGTTCATTATGTCTATATTTTAATGTATCAAAAAAACTACGTTTTCGGTAGTGGGTAGGGATGTTTTTTTCAATGAAATCTAACATCCGTTAAAAGCGTGTCGTCTGGAACAATTTTTTTATTTTATTGTTAACGGCAAAAGAATAATTCTTGCAGCATTTTTTTTCCTTCGTATATTTAAAGATTTTTTTTGGGGGGAATTTATTTTATGAATATTTTTTTATTTAATTTACGGTTTTGAAATATTTTTACTTTTAATTTTTAATTTAGTGTAACCCGGATATAAAGAGTTGTCGAGA